CCACCTTAGGTGTATGTGGCTGGCGCCTTAGCCACTTGAGCCACAGGTGCCGAGCCCCGTCCGTTTAGTCTTATTTTCAAACTTGATAAATCATAATAATGGTACTAAAAAAGATAAAATTTTAATCCCACTCTAACAGATTTTTGAACCTGCCTCTTGTCTGTAAGCATATTCTTTTCTTAGAGTAATTTTTGTTATTCTTTGTTCCTGTCATATTGCAACAAGCATTCAGCATGACTGCACAGTCTCCGTAATAATTTTAATGTAAAATCAATCTGTTTTGACTTAAGTTACTCTATTGTTTGGTTGTATAGTTTCTGATTCTTCAGTATTGTGCTGCAGTTTTCATCTGTGTATATATAGTATTTTCTGTCCTTTGGACTGTTCTTTTAGGATTGATTTAAAAGGTCATTGTCCGAACATTTTTATCACTGTTCAAACATCGTTGCAACGTTTTTCAAGAGTGTAATTACACTATCACCTTCTTATAACTTTAGTTACTGACATGAAGTAGTCTAATTATTATTTTTGCTAACTTAATAGGTACAAAATATGTTGTTCTTTTTTTCTTTGTAAGATTTTCCTTTACTAGTAAAGTAGGCCCTTTTTCTATAATTTCAATTACTGAATCTTGTACAAGTTGTATATTCAGATTTCTAATTATGTTACAAGAGTCCTTATATTTCATTTTTTGCTTATTATAGAATTCTTAGTAGTGGCTTGCTGCACATATTTTGCCACATAGATTTCCCTTTTAATTTTTGTTACTTTTGCTGAGGGTTTTTGAATAGACAGAAGGGTATGAGGTACACAAAATATTTTGTTGGAAAGTTATTTAGAAACAGTATCTAATGTTACTGAAGAAATGGCATAGAAATAGGGGTGGGAAGAAGAAATGGCACAGAAATTGGAAGTACCAAGACAAGATGCTGTTAAAGTGGTTATCAGCATGAGGTGGAGCTAGAGTAGGGTCTAGAGAGGAAAGGGCATTAGGTGAGCAAGAAATTGAGCTAGGAAAGCAGTTCTCAACCTTTGGGTCACGACCCATAGGAACTATATTAAAGGGTTGTGGCATTAGGAAGGTTGAGAACCACGGAGCTAGAAGGAAGAGTTCAGTAGCATTTGGTCTCCAATGGTAAGAGTGAAGAAGAAATATAAAACATACTGTCAAGGTTTGAGAAGGGGGGAGCAGGCTCTCAGTGCCTATGGCTCAGTAGTTAGGGCGCCAGCCACATACACCCAGGGCTGGAATGTTTGGGCCAGCTAAACAACAATGACAACTACAACAAAAAAACAGCCAGACATTGTGGCAGGCACCTGTAGTCCCAGCTACTTGGGAGACTAAGGCAAGAGAATTGCTTAAGCCCAAGAGTTTGAGGTTGCTGGGAGCTGTTACCATGCCACAGTACTCTACCAAGGGTGACTTAGTAAGACTGTCTCAAAAAAATAAAAAATAAAAAAATAAAAGAAAGAAAGGGAGAAACAAACAATATCACCAACTGATTTGGGAAGTCTGGAGAGGTCAGTAGTTGTTATAAAGAAAATGAAATTTGTTTTGAACATTGGAGTTAAGAGGTTGAGTTGTCCATTAGATATCTGTTCTTTTGTGAAATTATGAGGCACTGTGCTGGTCCTTATATCACTTCTATATTTTGACTTTTAATTCCATTTTACTTTTATCACGGTTTTCTTATTTTTGGTTTTTAAAGTTTATCTTGAATTAAAAATTCAGGAAAAGCAAATGATTCTCACACTAAATTAAGGAGAGGTTAGTTTTTCATTTTTGAAAAAATACAGGGTGTCCATAAAGTTTGTGTATGATTTTTTTTAATAGAGTCTCACTTTGTCACCCTCTGTAAAGTGCTGCAGCATCACAGCTCACAGCAACCTCAAACTCTTGGGCTTCAACTATTCTCTTGCCTCATCCTCCCAAGTAGCTGGGACTACAGGCACCCACCACAACGCCCAGCTATTTTTTTGTTGTTGTTGTTGCAGTTGTCATTGTAATTTAGCAGACCTAGACCCGGCTCAAACCTGCCACCTTCAGTGTATGTGGCCAGTGCCCTACTCACTGAGCTATGGGCACAGAGCCAAGTTTGTGTATGATTTAAAATAGTTTGTTATTTTGTAAGTATATGTGATAGAATTTGTAAAAAGGATTAGAAAGCTTGATGTATCTGCCTTTTTTGTTTGTTTTTGTTTTTAGAAATTTTATTTTTAGAAACTTAACTTCAAAATTACTTATTTTTCCAGAATCACTGTTGACCATGGCTTCACTAGAAGAGAAAGTAAATTGTGTTCTTTGGTTGGTTGAACTAAAATCTACTGCTGCTGTCCAAAGAAGGTTTAGAACCCATTACAAGAAAGACGCACCCCAAAAGAATTCCGTATCCAAGTTGATGAAAAAATTTAAAGAAACAGGTTCTGTCAGTGGTAAGCCGTGGTCTGGTAGGCCATGTGTTAGTGAAGAAACTGTAGCATCCGTAGAAGGAAGCTTTGAGGAAAGTCCAAGAAAGTCATTAAGACGGGCATCTCTAGAGCTGAGGCTTTCAAAATCTGTGCATCAGAAACTACAGACAAGACTTTCCACGTGAAAGGGCACCAAAGTCAAGTGCATCACGTGTGGTTAGCAGAGAGTTGTCATGCATGATTACCATCAGTTCGATGAAAAGCTCAGCAATGATGATGCATTTGAGTAACTTAATATTCTCTGATGAAGCAACATTCCACATTAGTGGCAAGGTCAACAGACATAATTGCCATATTTGGGGAACTGAAACTTCACATGCATCTGTTGAACATGAAAGAGATTCTCCCAAAGTTAATGTGTGGTGCGCTTTGGGGAAAAATTGAGTCACAGGACGTGTTGTTAATGGTGATAGTTGTTTAGAAATGCTGTGAAATTACTTAATTCCTCAGCTTTATCAATTAAGACTGATAGAGAATACAGTGTTTCAACAGGATGGTGCTCCTTGTGGCTTTGGTTTGCATGTTAGACAGTTTCTACATGAGAAAACCTAACAGATGGTTGGAAAAAGGTGGACCATTTTCTTGGCCTCCATGTTTGCCAGATTGGACTCCACTGGCTTTCCTTTTACGGGAACATGTAAAAACTAATGTTTATTCAAACAAACCTCGATCTTTAGAAGACTTGGCAAGCTAGGATAACTTAATTGCTGGTATTACTAAAAATCAGCTTGAAAACGTTTTCCAAGAACTACAGAATTGTATTACCCTTTGGACTAGTAATGATGGTGAACATGTTGCTAATTAACAAGAACATTAAAAAAATGTGTTTCTTCTTTCTGATCTTTTCTACAGGTTCTTGTATCACATATACTTAGAAAGTTACAACTATTTTAAATTGCATATGACCTTTATGGACATCATGTATAGTTTTAGGAGAGCTTATTATAAATTTTTTTGCACCAAAATAAACTTGTACTAACTAATAACAACATGTCTAAACAGGATCTAGTTTGAGGCACTAAGAAGGATAAAAAAAGCTATCAGAGCAATATGAACTCTGCTAAAATTTAAGCAAGAACAAACATCAAATTTATGGTGAAGGTTGGGTGAAAAAATGGTGAAGTCATTGATGCTTACAAGAAGTTTATGGGAACAATGCTCTAAGGATGAGTGACAGTTTACAAATGAATGACTCGTGTTAAGAAGGCATGAGAATGTTTTGAAGATGAAGCATTATAGCAGCAGGCCATCCACATTAATTTGCAAGGATAAAATTAATCTTGTTGGTGACCTCATTAAAGAGTACTGACAATTGACAGCAGAAACAATAACCAACACCATAGACATCTCAATTGGTTTAACTTACACAATCCTGATCAAAAATTACAGTTCAGCAAGCTTTCCACTCTATTGGTGCCAAACCTCTTAGGCTCAGATCAGCTGTAGACAAACCACAGCTTTCAATGGAAATTTTAAAGTGTGACCAAGATCATAAAGTCTTTCTTGGAAGGATTGTAACAAGATGGAACAGGATTTACCAGTATGATCCTGAAGGCTAAGCACAGTCTGAGCGCTGACTCCCAGGAAGTGGAAGTGGTCCAGTTAGCAAAAGCAGCCAGAAACAAAGGTGATGGCAACAGGTTTAACGGGGGATAGTCATGGCATTTTGCTTGTTGACTTTCTGAAGAGCCAATGAACAATAACATCTGCTTATTATAAGAATGTTTTGAGAAAGTTAGCCAAAGCTTTAAATCAGGCGTCCTCAAACTATGGCCCACGGAGGACATTTATCCGGCCCTCCAGGTGTATCTGCCACAGCTGCCTGTCCTGCTTAGCAGCCAACTCATCCCAGGGCCCACAGTCTGGCCCTCCACCGATCTGAGGGCCAGTGAACTGGCCCCATTTTAAAAGTTTGAGGACCCCTGCTTTAAATCTTCAGTAGAAAGATAACTGGGGCTCGACGCCTGTGACTCAAGTGGCTAAGACACCAGCCATACACACCGAAGGTGGTGGGTTCAAATCCAGCCCAGGGCCGCCAAAACAACAATGATGGCTGCAACCAAAAAATAGACAGTCAGTGTGGCAGGCACCTGTGGTCCCAGCTACTTGGGAGGCTGAGGCAGGAGACTCACTTGAGCCCAGGAGTTGGAGGTTGTTGTGAGCTGGGATGCCACAGCATTCTACCCAGGGGGATAGCTTGAGGCTCTAAAAAAAAAATTAGAAAAATAACTGGGAATCTTCACCAGGGAGTCATTCTCCACCAGGACAGTGCTGCTTAGTCCTCATTCAAACAAGGGCAATTTTTAAGAATTTCAGTGGGAAAGTATTAGGCATCCACCTTAACAGTTCTGACTACTTTTTGGTTCTTAAACTTTAAAGGGCACACATTTTTCTTTAGTTAGTAATATAAAAAAGACTACATTTACATGATTAAATTCCCAGGACCCTCAGTTCTTTAGGAGTGACTAAATGGCTGGTACCGTCACTTATAAATATTTTGAAATTGATAGAGATTATGTTGATGAAGTTTCTTTTTTAATCTTTTACTTTCATTTTTCAGCACACTTTTTGAAGTCCTCGTGTACTGTTTGTAAAGGGCCAGTATATGTGCTGAAATGTCTCTCCTTTCCCCTTCTTTCTGTGTAGACTGATGTTACAGTGTTTCAGTTTGGTTTTAATAGATACAGAGAGGTAAACAGATGTATGTTTATGGAACATGAATGTTCAGCCAATATTCTTTAAGTATCTGAAATCCAGATAGAGATGTTAATTGTCTTTGTTTTTAGAAATTCTATATCAATATATAAAATGTTCAGTATAAGAAAGTACTTTAATATTTAGAAATATCAAGACATGGAATAGGCTAACTTTTGAGTGTTTCTCAAGACGAAGAGCTTAATTTTACTGGTTAACCTTCTATGGTTCTCCCACTCGCTCCCACTGCTTTTATTCTAAGTCTTTTTTTTAAAGTGTTTTCTGCTCATTTTCCTGCTGTTTAGCAAGGGAAAAGCTATGATTTTCCTTAGGAGAAAGCAGGTCTTTCACATGATCAATTAGATACCAGGCACAACAATTATTTTTTCTTTTTGATTCCACTTTTAAGTCTGTTTTTAAAATCTAATCCTTTTGGAGCCTTCCTTTTAGCATAGAAGGTGAGCTTATGAAATTGGAGTCACTTTGTTAACTGGATTCTTAGAGCTCATATATATTTTAAAGTTTTCCTATTACAATGCTAGCTTTGAGTTACAAAGCTATCTTTACAGATCCAAGAAAAAAATAACGTGATGATGCAAAAATACATTTGTGCATTAGTTTTTCAGCATTCTGAGTTTTTACTGAATATGTGGTTATATATGTTCATATTATATCACCTTTAGTAATCTCTTATCTTTGGTAACTTTTATTTTTCAAAGACTTGTAAGTCATTCAAGTCATTTGTAGAACTTAGGTTTTTTGTATGCCCTCAAGAGAAATGACAGCTTTAAAAATCAGGCAGGGGCCCCAGCAGCGCCTTGGCTCACACCTGTCATCCTAGCACTCTGGGAGGCCAAGATGGGTGGATTGCTGGAGCACTGAGGTTCCAGACCAGCCTGCAGCTGAACAAAAGTGAGATCCTGTCTCTACTAAAAATAGAAAAAAACCTAGCTGGGCATCATAGCAGGGACCTATAGTCCCAGGAACTCAGGAGGCTGAGACAAGGGAACCATCTGATTACAGGCACCCACCACTTTTTTGGTTGCAGGTGTCATTGCTGTTTGGCAGGCCTCCAGGCTGGATTCGGACCCACCAGTTCAGGTGCATGTGGCTGGTGCTGTAGCCACTTGAGCCACAGGCGCAGAGCCCCGCCACTAACATTTCTGCTGCTTCCCTTCCTGTATCAGCTGCAGTCAGTCAGCTACCATGGCTCCTCTGTTCAAGCCCTGTGGTTTTCCAGTTCTTTGTTTTTATTCATACTGTTCTCACCACCTTGAATGTTGTCCTATCTCCATGTGTTCAAATGCTACCTAATTTTCTTGATAGTTCTATAAATACAACTATAGGTAATCTCTCCATTTGGTATTCATGTGTTTCCTCATGTGATCTCTGCCACTTTCTGTATTGCATTTTACATTTTTACTATGTGCCCTTCACTATCTTAGGAAATCTTCACAGGCAGAAAACTGTATCTTATTTACCCTTGTAGGTTTAAAACTTGTCCCAGGCCTAGGCACTTACCTGTGTAGGGGAAGTTTAACAAAGGTATAGCAAATTGAAAGGTGACATTTAATGGACTAATGCATGCCAGTAATATAAAATGAGCTTTGTCACTGCTTGTACGTTCAAGAATATCCTGGTCAGGCTGGGCTTTGTGGTGGGCACCTATAGTTCCAACTACTTGGGAGGCTGAGGCAAGAGAATCACTTAAGCCCAACAGTTTAAGGTTGCTGTGAGCTGTGATGCCATGGCACTCTACCAAGGGTGACATAATGAAACTGTCTCAAAAAAAAGAATATCCTTGTCACTTGAAGTGATAGCACTTGAGGTTTTAGGAACTGAGTAAGGCTCAGGAGCACGTAATGGGGAGCATATTGTGAAGGTGATCCACAGGTCAGAAATTTCCACTCAAGTGTTTATCCTTTTTGTGCTTTAAAAGATGTCTCTAACCACCAGAAGATTGTTTTTCTGATGGTATCTGATTCACAGTCCTAATTATTAGTGCTACGAGTCTGAGAAAACTTTGGCCAGAGCTAAGGGTAGATTTGCCAAGTAACAGTATATAAGCTACCTGCCCCTGTAAATTTCTGAACCCAAAATCTCACCCCCAAGTACATTTTTAAAAATCACAATACCATATTTTTTCTAGATACGAAACTAGGGATAACTTGAGAATTAAAGGTGGATATTTTAAGAGAGCATTACTTGTCCCTTGGTTGCTACGATACTGCTCCTCCAAGATTTAAAGAAATGGTGATGATGGGAATTGGGGAGATAAGTTAAATATCAGGCTTGTATTAGGCATTCATAGAGTTAAAGTGGCAATTGTGTATTCTTAGCTCAAAATTTTCAGAGTTTTTACAATAACTCGGTAAGGCATTGGACTGAATAAGTATCCTAGTAGCAACTGTGGATCTGAAAACCAGAAGTCTGTCTTACTGGTTATATCTAAGATGCATCACTGCATGCTGTTTCTAGAGGATGAGGGATATAGGGCTGGGTGTTCATAGCTCTTAATATTTTAGGGTTCCAATCCAGCTTGGTATTTTTCAAACAGGAATTCCTAAGCCTACTTCTAATATCCATTTATTCTTGTAAGGTACTTTAACTTAAACCCTGAGAATCAGAAATATCAGGCATTGACTTGATAATTTTAGCCGTTAAGGAAGTTGCTGATCTTCCTTGGATCAAATTCCGATACAAGTTTTAATGTCCCATTGTCCCGCCTGCCTCCATTATTAAACAAGAGTTCTAAGTGTTTTCACTGGTTGATACATATAATTCTAATAATAGCTAAGGAAGAAAACCACTGATTGATTTCATGATAGTGGCATTTGTACTTTGCATATATGTGTGTATTGCCCACAAACATACAAACCAGAGTACCAGAGTGTACTTGCGTATTTTCTCTTGTAGTTCATTTCTTTACAAAAACCTGGTATGGGGCAGTGCCTTTGGCTCAGTGAGTAGGGCACCGGCCCCATCCATGTACTGAGGGTGGCAGGTTCAAACCCAGCTCCGGCCAAACTGCAATAAAAAATAGCCAGGCTTTGTGGCGGGCACCCGTAGTCCCAGCTACTCGGGAGGCTGAGGCAAGAGAATCACCTAAGCCCAGGAGTTGGAGGTTGCTGTGAGCTGTGATGCAATGGCACTCTACCCTACGAAGGGTGATAAAGTGAGACTGTCTCAAAAAAAAAAAACCTAGTATGACCCACAAAAGTGCTTTCATGACTCACTGTGAGTCTCACCTTGCTTTTTTGGGGGGGGGGTGGACTAGATAACAGTGGTTCACATTTGTTTGGTTCTGCAGTGTCACAGTATGACAGTTTTTTTTTTTTTTTTGAGACAGGAGCCTCAAGCTGTCCCCCTGGGTAGAGTGCCGTGGCATCTCAGCTCACAGCAACCTCCAACTCCTGGGCTCAAGCGAGTCTTCTGCCTCCACCTCCCAAGTAGCTGGGACCAGAGGCACCCGCCACTACACCCGGCCATTTTTTTGGTTGCAGCCATCATTGTTGTTTGGCGGGCCCGGGCTGGGGATTCGAACCTGCCACCTTGGGTGTACATGGCTAGCGCCTTAGCCACTTGAGCCACAGGTGCCGAGCCCACAGTATGACAGTTTAAAAGTTAAGGTACAAATTAATTGTTGCCCGAAAAAGCCTGTAGTCGTTTGAACAGCAGTGGAGTAGTGGGAAAAGAAATCATGAACAAGGGATTCATTTCCTTTTTTTTCTTTTGTTGGTTTATTGTATGTTTGGTAAGTAGGTTATTGGCTATGCCAGTTCCAACAGACCACTGTTTATGTTTATTCATTGGGTTACCTCAAATCCCATGGCAAGCAAAAACAAATGTTTTTCTCAACATTTCTCATTTGTTCCCTCAAACCAAACGAGAATTCTCATCATTTCTCAAAAAATCTTTGATCTTAATCTCTATATGCAGTCACGAAGCTGCTTCCAGTGTTTGTATAAATTTTAGTGGCTTAGATCTTGGTCAAATGGGGCAGGGACGAGGATTTTCATATGAAGGAGCATTAACAAAGCTATTTTCCTGTTTCTTATTCCTCTGTGACATGCCTTTAAGCCATGGCCTTTGTAACTT